GGGGCTGAGTCTGCCTAGCAACCAGTTCTAAATCACCAGGGCGGCTGCGGACTTCAGCTCCGTTTCTCCTCCGCTTGGCTCCTGGGAGTTTAGTTGTGTGGTTTTTTTTTTAATGTATTAGAATTCTTTATTCTTAGAAACCTCAATCTTTTAATGATTACCAAAAGTGAACAGTCAGCATTTTTAGATTAATATTTATGAACACACTTTAAATATACTTAAAAATGCATCATGCCTTGGACCTTCTGTGATAAAACTAAGAGCAGGTAAATTAAAACTTGTCTAGTAAAAACTGCTATATTTTTCCTTATTATGATTCAAGTATATTGTATCGGTATAATTTAGTATTGGAAGTGTTAAAGAGAATAAAACGGGGCAGAGAAAGATTTACTGTGCCTTCAGAAAACTTGCAACCTTGAGTCTAGTGCAGTTCAGTTAAGACACCTGGTAGGCTATGGACCAGACCCCTATGCCAGCAGAGCGGACTACAACCAGTAAAATCAACAAAAACTTATCTCTCACTGCTTCATAATTAACTGCCAACACCCGCCCCCTTCTACATTAACCATTTACTCTGTCCTGAAACAAGGTAAATGGTCTGAGATCCTGTATATTTAGGCTTTTTACATTCAAGGATACATTTTTTTCTTCCTGTAACAGTTGCTTTCCCTCACAGATTTTTCCTCTTTACTCTAAGCCCCTAGAGCAGTGGTTCTCAACCTTCCTAATGCCGCAACAGGCCATGAGAAAATGTACTAATCTTAACCTAACAAGCCTTAGCAGGGGAGAAAAGGGTAGTGGTCTAGCCTTTGTTTAAACTTCTCTGGGCTACACCCTTCACAAATTTATACCTTTAACCCCAGAATTCCAAAATTTCAACCTAATACAGCAAAATCACAGATCAGGGAGGGAAGAGCAAACCAAAGCCCCTGGTACATAAACAGACAGAAATTTCAGTGGGCTGATTCCCTCCTTGATGGAGAGCAAAAGACTGAGAAAAATAACTCTCAGCAGCTAGAGACTTTTGCAGTTCGTCACAGCATTCAGCCTTACTATACACAATTAGGCTTCCCCTAAAGCGGGGTTTGCCCTATCTTTAAACAAATTAAACAACAGGAAGAGATAACAAATACTCTCGTGTGTACAGCCAGATGGCACAAAGTAGCTTTCACTTCACACAGACTCTCACACATTTATACGCCAGACAATCCGAGTTTTTGACTTCTACCAGATATTTACTCAGAGTTTAAACAGTCCACCTGATTCCTGATTAATTGCCCGAGGAAGCCATATGGCTTCCAGGGAGGTGATCAAGCTCCCCCTTCCACTCACTTGGAGTGGGCCTGACTGACTGGGGCCCCTACCTTACCAATTCTGTCGACAGGTTCAGAAGTGTCCTTCCACTCTTTCCTGATGCCAGCCGGGTCCTGGGCTGAGGTCCGGGAGCGCCCAGAGTCCCCCAGTTCAATTCTGCTAAATCAGCAGAGCGATGCCTCCCGGAGGCCTATCCGGCGCCCCCGGGTCCCAAACCCGTACATTCACTGGAGGCCAAAAAGGCCAAGCGCGATTGATTTCCCGGTGTTTCAGGGAACCATTAATGTTACAGAAGACCAGAGAAGAACCAAGCAACGCTTAGAGAAATGGAATTACACTTTATTATTATTATTATTATTACACCGGGCATTATTATACGTGGGCCGCAAGAAAACTGTATTTCAAATTCTGGGCCCCAACATGGAGGAACTTTCTCTATTTATATATTTTTACCTTCTTTGCCTCCCAAATATGGTTTTTGATTCCAGGGCCTGTTGCTTGTCTCCCTTTCCTATTGTGAGTCAGAGGAAGACAATTCCTACAGAGGGGAGAAATAGAAACAGTGGGAGTTTCGGAGAAAACTACAGACTATCGCTGTAGCAGTCCTCCCTCCTGGAGGCCGGGGTCCGACCTGTGGAGAAAAATGACTCTTAGTCGGTCTGGAAAAGAAGGCCACCCTTTAATACAGTTCCTCATGTTGTGGTGACCCCCAACCATAAAATTATTTTCGTTGCTACTTCATAACTGTAATTTTGCTACTGTTATGAATAGTAATGTAAATACAATAGCAGGGCGAACATTTCAAACAGCAGTTTATATGTAAGATGGATGCTCCAATAGCACCATTGACCCAATAGACTGCTCTGTGCGGCCCCGGGGACATCCACGTGACAGCACCCAGAGTTCTTGGGCTGATTCACTGAGAGGAACCTCTGGGAGGGGCGGTGCTGAAGGAACAGGGCACACGCTGGTTACACCCCATCATGGAGCCTCATATTCTATCAGCGCAAGAACCCTCTTTAGGAAACAAAACAAAAACCGCTTTAGTGCCTGGCGGAGTTGATGTTCAATGAATGTTTGTGAAATGAATAATGACCCTTACTTGATTAATAAGTGTAAGTTTGGAATGATCACCAATGCTCTTGGCATTGAACACACTCCCCAGTGCTGGTTACACCCCATCATGGAGCCTCATATTCTATCAGCGCAAGAACCCTCTTTAGGAAACAAAACAAAAACCGCTTTAGTGCCTGGCGGAGTTGATGTTCAATGAATGTTTGTGAAATGAATAATGACCCTTACTTGATTAATAAGTGTAAGTTTGGAATGATCACCAATGCTCTTGGCATTGAACACACTCCCCTTACTCTGGGATCCTGGCCCTGCTCCCCTCAGTCGTGTCTGTACAAGATTTCACATCAGGCCCAGCACCCACATTCCTGGGCTCCTGGGCTGCACGCCTGACCTCTCACAGAGCGTGGGCCAGGGTGAGGAGCCAGAAGGGGCCTTGCCTCTTGCTTGGCTGCGGAGTAAGGAGACAGGTGGGACAGGGTCCTCCCCAACCCCCAGCCCCAGGCTGCAATTCCCAGGGTCTTGCCCTCAGGAAGCCCTCCTCCTCTGGGAAGCCCTCCCAGATTTCTTCCTCCCCTAAACCTGCCAAATTGCCTCCTCCCAGAGAAGACATGAATGAAAACACTTCCCATTGGCTTGTGTCATTTAAGTTCTCCTTTAATTGTCCTAGGTGTTCTGCATCTCAAATGTCCAGATGGGGGAGACGAAGCCTTTCCCTCCGATCGGCCTCAGTGGAAGGAGGGAGACCCCCGACCCCCAGGAAGCTCGGGTCCAGGAGGAGGCAGGTCCCAGTGTCCTCCGAGGCGGGAGGTCTGCATACTGAAGGCGGGCCCTGAGCGCTGGGCGTTGGGTGGGCAGAGAGCATCCCCTCCTCTTGGACTGGGCTCCCGCCAGCGTCCGGACCCGGAGGGCGGGGCAGAAGGTCTGAGCCCTTGGCCTCTCCCGGCGGCCATTGCAGTCGGTGGGGGCAGAGGCTCTCCTCC